GGAAGGTCCCAAAAAAAAAAAAAAAAAAAAAAAAAAAAAACAATAACTTAATCAATCCCCACGAGTTCAGCCACTGCTCACCCTTTCCATTCTGTATCACGAGCCGTGTTCTATCCTGTCTTCTTTTCAGGATTTTCAATAAACTCGGCTCTCCTACGAATCGCAGTTCAGTACAGTCAAACAGAATACCTTTTTTCGTACATACGAATCTACATACCCCTCTCTCGTTTGCTTTCTGCATTTTCGCCGTGCGTATTTCTTCCTTGATTTCTTTGTGTTCAAACCCGGGTTCATGCATCCAATAACGTGCTTTTCCATACTCGCAAGGGAAGACTTACTACCAAACCAAATGGGACGAGCAACATAGCACTGAGAGCCAACTTTATTCATCCATCGATGCACTTTCTGCCTCGGGGCAGAATCCACAGTGTTAGATAAGCGCACATGCTCTTGCCATCTCGTTTGTAGCCCCCTCTCTGTCTTGCCAACATAGGTAAGCTTAAAGAAAGGTGAGATCAGTAGATATACACAATTACCACCTGTTAAAAGTGCATTCCAATCACCCCTGTTCATATCTTTCCAAAATTTTACATATGTCCGCCCCCATTTTATTTCACCTCTCAAACACAGCATTAAGACAAGTAATTTTTGCATAGATCTTGCTTCCTTCTCAATAAGTGACCCATGTGTCCTAATCAGGTCCGCCAGTTTCCTGCAAGCACGTAGCAGGGAACGCTTAGAAGCCTGCATTAGTTTCCCTTGACGGCTGCCTCTGAGTCATGATCTGATTCTGAACTGCTTTCCTCCTTCTCCTCTTCATCTTCGCTCTTCTCTTCTACTTTGCTTTCCTCATCCTCTCCTTTCATAGATGCCCTGTATTCTTCAAAGTCCAGACGGGCCAATTCCCAAACGCCAGCTTCCTTCTGCTTGTATGTGAGACCTCTGCTTTTGCAGAGCAGTTGCACCTCCGTATAGTGCAGCGAATCATTGTGGACCACCCTGTCCTTGTAGTACAGTCCCATAGATTCTTCATCGCCACCACAATCCTTTTCCTTAACCAACTCCTTCTCCTTACCTGCGTCTTTCGCCACACCATTTGTCTGTCCACCCTCCTTCCTACCTTCTGCGTTGCTTCCGAACGAAGGCCCGACATTTCCTACTCCTTGGCCTTTTTCAGCCAGTACGGCCTTCAACAGATCCTTCAGTTCAGTTAACTCACTTGGTTTCGAACCACCCGGAGAGTCGAATCTGCTGCTCAAATTCTGGACAGCAGCATCTCTGCTCTTGCTATCGTCATCAGAGGAGACGACGACGTGGTCCCGCACAGCACCTTGTCCGTTTTTCTTCAAGAGTCCCGATCGTGACTTCACGTTCCCTGCTCTGGGTCTCACTGGAGATATCGACATCTTTCTCCTTTTTTCACTACTAGAATTTTCCGTAATTCTCTTAATTCCTTCTCCGCTCTCAACAATTTTAGTTCCTCAAGCTCACTATCCTTGAGTTTCGACCGCCTGTCAACATCTTCCAACTTTTCCATCAGAATTCGCAACGAGTTCCCAAAATTATCCCCTACCCATTTTTTCATCGCATCTTCCTTACCATCATCTACTACTTTGCCCTTTCCTTTATCCTTCTCCCTACCACTCTGCTTCTTCCCAATCTCCTTTGCATTACTTTTGTCTTTTTCTTTCGAATTGTCCGCCTCCTTCCCATTCTCCCTCAGTCACACTATCTCCTCCTGATCCTTCTTTCTGGCCTCGTCGACGGCTTCCTTGAACTTAAGCTTGTCAATGAAATCCGCATGTTCCTTTGTGTAGAAAGCGCGAGGCTGATAATTTCCACCATTGCCTCGACCGAAGCCTTGGTTGTATTGGCCTCCTGATTGCCCGGGCATAGCCGCCTGCCCAGAATACCCCCAGGGCGCAGCAAGCATCGGTTGAGTGTATCCTTGCTGTGCTGGAAGCCTGGAACGAAGCCATAGTGAGGTGGAGGGGTCACGAACGCTTGTGGGAAGTTCATCACAGGAGGTTGGATCGGCAGGATCGATGGTGGTTGCGCAGGTGGATGTGCTCCCGAATTATCCATCCAAAACCTACCTCAATTCGACCAACGCCCTCGACCCCTTCCCCCGTTGTACGCCCGCATGCGAACCAATTACTTGCAACCAGAGTAAATCGGCCAGTGCCAGATTCACCGGTGATCAAGTGAGAACGGATGCACGTGTCCCACTGTGCAACGCCAGTACAAAGCCTGAACAGGTAATACAGCCTGATCAACAAGGCGAGTATGTCACCCGCTCAAAAACATCTTAACGCCAATGCTCCATCCCCCACAACTTGAGCATGCGAAGCCACCGGAGAACAACATATGGGAATTACTACAGTACAAAATGCACGTCGCCACGGAGAGTCCGAGAGACAGCGCTGTCCAGTCGTATCCCAAGCGCACTGCAAGATCGATCGGCCAGCTCTAGTGACATATACAAAATTTGCAAGGTAGTCTCTGGACTTTACTTATCACAGCATAAAACACCTTGCCACACCGCGAAAAACAAGCGCAGTGCTTTACCCTTCTGTCCAACTGCTCAGGCACAGAGCCTCTCCGTATCAATTACTACAGCCGACTACGTCAAAAAAGAGCCTCCGCCGTCATAAATCCACCAGGTAGCCGTTGCGAGCTCAGAAATAGAAAATAAAACAAAAAATAAAAAAAAACAAAAAGAAAAAACAACACAGCCCCTCCCCCGAAATCACTTTCGGAGAGGGCCTTACTTCCAAGGTACCAGTACGGATGCTTCATGACTTCCTCACTCGAACTGCTCACCCCACCCCCAGGCTCATACCGGCCTTCTTGATGCATGCTCTCCGCCAATTTGCCAACCGGTCCAAGTTCCACCCTCCCTCCCCCTCCTTTCCCCCTTCTTTCTCAATTACTCCTCCTGTACTGTAACTTCCCCAGTTGTCGAACTCGGAGATCAATTGCTCCAAAAACTCTGAGCTCTTTCTTTTTATTGCTCTTTTTACACCTGCTGTGAATGTTTGCCATGGAAAGTTGAGCACCCGAAGCTCCTTCAAAAAAGTGAGCAAACTCCACCACAATGATAGTTTGGTATTCGAATTCTCAATGATCCGACATACCGAATTCGAAACTGCAGCAAATTTCTGGATTTTTGGCGCAAAAGAAGCATAGCTTCTCAATGTTCTAAATCTCCTCGGTCTCCCAGCCCAAATAGTATCAAGGTTCTTGAATTTGTGCATGCTGTGAATCCAGGCTGGCATGTCCGTTACTATCAATCTAGTTTCCAGGAATTCCAGCAGACCACAATTATCATCTGTTCTCTCAAGCACCAAGTCCTTGTGGTAACATCCCATGATTTGATCCAGAGTCTTGTTGATCTTTGTTTCCCCATTTCTGTCTCTCCCATCATACCAGCCCAACAGAAGCAAATCATCAATAAACTGATTTCCATGTATATAACGGGAATCCGTCCCAAGTGAGGTCACGAACTGCTGTTCCACAAAAATACACAGGATATTCGCCAAAGGTGGGCTAGCCCTACCTCCCATAGGGATTCCAATTCGCTGCCGAAGTATCTGTGTCATGGAATAGAAGTGCGTATTGTTCAGTTGGAACTTCGTCAGTTCCACGAGATCTCTCAGCCTCACTGATTTCCATCCCAGCTCCCCGTGTGATTTGCCAAGTGTTGCCTTCTTCCCTCTTATCTTCAGTCTTATCCAGTAGTGCCCGCGATCTTCAAAGTGCTGCACAAGCCACTCAACAGCTTTTACAATTTCTTGATGTGGCAGGCGCGTGAACAGTTCCTTTACATCGTAAGTTCTGGCAATAATTCTGCAATCCAACCCAAATTTCTGATTTGCCGTTTCATTCACAAGTTCGAGATTTCGTTTTAGTTGTTTCGCCCCATCAATGTTGAAATGGCACAGTCGTAGTCTTTTAATAAAAAAATTGATTCCCTGGGATAAATATCCCATAGCCGTTTTTGCAGGATTGGCGAAAGAGGGAACGATTGGCCTCTTTTTACTTACGTCTTTGTCCTTTGACAAGATATAGGCATTCTGCAATTTCCCTTTGTAATCCCATTGCACAATTCGACCCAGATTTTTCTCCCAGTACTGCAATCTCTGGCATTTCAGTATGTCCTGCTCAGATCTGCATTCCTTTGAGTAGTTCTGATTTTCGTTGTACATATCCGTCATGGCCTTCTCATACAGGACCGGACACTCAATGAGAGTGTCCCCTGGGTTACGATCCAGTGGTGAGAAAACCAAGCCAGCAAATGCTTGCCTGATCCCCAGCACATACTCTGATCTTACACAGCCATCGGAAATGGGCAACCCCTTCAGACTGTACACCCTTCGCTTACAACTGAATTTCTCTGCTGTATTTATGCAACCCATCTTTTTTAATGGCACCACTGCATCATTACAGGCCCACATCACTTCCTGTCCGGTGAGTGTCTCACCAGGATAGGGAATGTTCTTGGAATTCAGCACAAATCACGAATACCATCTATTTCTCCCAATCTGACCTGAACGTGCCCATTTGTCTTGGGCAAGTCAACGTCTTCACAAGTGCAGGTCCAGCCACGTCCTCTTGCGAAGCGCTTGTGGTTATGCAGGATCTCTCCGACAGATTTAGCTTTCTGCCAGACAAGTCTCATCCTGCCAACCAACAGGTCAGCTACAGTAGTAGGTTGTATCCAATCTTCTCTAATACTATAAAGCAAATAGAGGGTCTCGCGTGACGGTCCCACGCGAGCACCCGTTGTCAGCGTTGGGAAAAGTCGAGACGGGCCCAGGGCCCATGCTAGGAGCGGCCGGCGAAACGGCGCCGCGGACAAACGGGTCGGAAGCGGGCGGGGAATTGAGGAGCGGTCGGGAGCGGGTGGGGAATTGAGGGGTGGCCGGCGAAATGGCACGGCGGCCAAACGGGTCGGGAGCGGGCGGGGAAACACCGAGCGGGCGGCACACGGGTCGGGAAACCAAACGGCCGGGGAATTGACAAGCGGGCGGGGAAACATGGGGCGGGTGAGCAGCAAACGGGCGGCAGAGGTGTGCATGCCGGGCGGGTGGGAAACTGCGAGCGGCCGCGAGAGGTGTGACGGAGACCGCATGTGCATGTCGGGGGGGCAAACAGCAGTCGAGCAGTCGATCGACGGTGGCCGTGTGTGTGTGTGTGTGTGTGTGTGTGTGTGTGTGTGTGTGTGTGTGTGTGTGTGTGTGTGTGTGTGTGTGTG